ACTCAAAATGTTATTTTTCCCTTATCATCTCTTCCTTTGTTTCTTATTTCAGGGCAGTACCAAGAGCTGCACCGTCCCAGGAACTACATAGTTACTAGACACCAAGAGGTAGAGATAAGGAAGGTCCAGTTCAGGATTTCTCTCTAATTCAACTGTTTTTAACAAAAAGATATTTGTTTACTGTCCTTAGCTCTCTTCTCTGGCTTCTCATTTTTCCATTTTGTTACTGACCTAGAAGTATTTTTCTTTAGTTTCTTGGCTCTAGTAATTAAGTCGTCTATGATTTTTCTTGTATTCCAGGAATTAAGTGTTATACATGTTAATACCGAAAGAAAATTGTGATGTCACAAGTATGTGTTAGCACAAGAGTTTGAGTGAGGGCTTTGAAGCGTATGCAAATGGCATTTCTAACTTTATTCAACTGAGGAGTGATTTATGCTTTGAGATGAAATACCCATCAAAGAAGCCAATTTTTAATGGAAACATTGATACTATGATGGATACTTTGAAAATTCTTAATCTGATTTCTTCAAGCCCCTCATACTATTCTCAATGGAATCTGCCCTGTTTTTTCTGTTGTGTAAGTAATCTGGAACCACAAATCCAGCTGACTGTCATGCTTTCTTCCTTTGATCCATTGCTTTAGAGTCATAGCTTCCTGGACCCAACACTCTGGTTCCCTGTTTAAAAGGAGCAGGAGACCCTGCCAATGTATGACACATTGCCTCAAGGGTAACGGAAGAAAATGTTCTAATGGCAGGGTAAAGGAGTGGTACTGTTGGCCTTCATTATTTTCCTTAAAGATCTTTGGGCTGGGGGTGGGGAAATAGTAGAAACTTGGATGGATTTCAGAAGAACAAAGGAATATGCGTTGATGAGAAATAGCTGGGGATATGGGGGTGACCACATTCAGCAATGCACAGGCCCCAACAAAGACAAGAAAATTGCCCTCCCTAATCATCTCAGATGGGTAAGTCCAACATAGCTTTCTAACATCTGCTTATCCTCTCCCACCAAACACAAGCTCCACCTATACACAATCAGCTGGGACTTGTCAATCAAGGGCTCTTACAGAATGAGACTTTCAAACTAGTAATAGCTACCATTTAGTGTATGCCCATCTTTTGTGAAATACTGAACTAGGTACTTTCAGTTTTGCAGTCACTATGCAATTGGTAAATCATTATTTGCCACTTACAGACCAAAAAAAAAAAAACCCCTTCTTGAATGAATTTTTAAGCAAATTTCTTACGATCACACAGAAAGATAGATATGATGTGGAAACTAAGTTCCATTGTCTCCAGATCATGCCTCCATTTCCGCTATGTCATATTAATTGTAACAGGACTATTTTTCAACCAAGGCATTACTAATTTTTGGACCCTTCTTTTGTTAAGGATTCATGAGAAATGTGCACTGCCACAGTAGCACTTCACTGCACTGTCCTCCCGTTGTTCATCGATTTGCTTGGGCAGGCCCAGTAATGTCTCCATTGTGAGATTTCTTGTTACTGTGTTTGGCATATTGAATACATCACGGGTAGCTTGCCAGGCTTTGCCGTGCGGGCAAGATACACCCGGTAGCTTGCCAGGCTCTCCGTGAGGTGCCGAAGAATTGAACTCGGGTTGGCCACAGTAACCTAAGAAAATAGCATTGGTTCCTTTTAAATTCCATTTTAAGTACTGTGGTTTACAAAACTGTTGTTGGTATGGTTTCTTACATAAAACTTCCAGGACCACACCCTCCACTAAGTGTCCACTTCCCTCCACCATAGTCCCCGTGTCCCTCCACCAATCCCCACCTTCTCCCCTGTGGTACGCTTCCTCCCTACTGGAAACCAGTTCAAAATTTGTTTCCTTTGTGGATCTGTTATTTCCCTATCATGCTTCTTTATATCCCACATGTCATAGTCATCGTTCTATGTCTGGCCCTCGCCTTCTAGCTAACTTCATTCAGCGTGATACTCTTCAGATCAATCCACACAACAGCAAATTGCATGATTTCATCTTTTCTTATACCCAAGTAGTATTCCATTGTGTTTATGAATCACAGTTTCTTTATCCAGTCATCTGGGCTGCTTCCAGATTATGGCTATTGTGAAGAGTGCTGCAATTAACATAGGGGTGCAGATGTACTTTTTGAATATATTTTGGTGACTTTGGGGTAGATATACGAAGAAGTAGAATTGCTGAGTCATATGGAAGCTCTTCTGTTTTCTAACAGAAAGATTATAATTTGTTCAGTAGAGCAGAACTTTAAGCTGCAATATAGAATATCCCAGACTTTTAAGCTGTAATTTTTTATGATGTAACATCTCCCTGTGGGGTCAGGGAGATAGTTTAAAGAGGTGAAGTCCACAACTTGTGTTTAAGAGATCCCAAGTTTGAGCCATGGAACTATTTTGCCCTCCATGCACCTCTGGGTGTGGCCCTGGTGTTGCCTAGCACTGTGGTCTCAAACAGTACCAAATGGCTGGGCCCAAGTACCAAACTACCAAATACTGCTAATTTAAGTATCCAGTATCACTACGAGTTACACCTGAGTTTCTAGAGAGTTCCACTGCCTATCCCCTCCCCCTCTAAAGAGATCTCCTTACCTCTTAATCACTTAATCACTTAATCCCCGTTATTCATCGATTTACTCCAGCGGGTGCCAGTAACGTCTCCATTCATCCCGGTTGCTTGCTAGCGTAGCCCAATGGTATCTGTTCGTTCTAGGAACATGCAGAGCCTCAAACCGATCATTCAGGGTCTTGACGAAGAAGTCTGACCATCTTGTAGGTGAGCGTCCACGTGATCTTTTGATGTCCCGTGGAATCCAATCAGTAATGGCTCTAGTCCAGCGGTTGTCTGTAAACCTCATTACGTGTCCAGCCCATCTGATTTTTGATGTCTTGGCAAATGAGACAGCGTCCCTGATTCTTGAGCGTTGACGAAGATCAGAACTCCGGATTCTATCTCTCATTTGAGTGAATCATGATATTCCAAGCATAGCTCTTTCGATTCCTCTTTGAGAGATCCGAATAGCGTTCTCATCCTGTTTTCGTAGGGTCCAGGTCTCTGAGGCATATGTTAATGCAGGAAGAACAGTGGAATCAAAGAGATGTGCTTGTAGCTGGAGGTTCTTTGTCCTTTTAGTTATTTCTTCAACGTTCTGAAGGCATTCCAAGCCGCTCTCTTCCCCCTGCGCAACTCAGGTGCCAGGTCATTCATCATGTTGATTTCTCGACCTAGGTATATATAACTGTTGCATTCGGAGATGGCGGTTCCGTTGAGAGCAAATGGAGCGTCAGGAACAAGGCTGTTTCTCATAAACATTGTCTTCGTAAGATTCAGCTGTAGTCCGACCTTTCCACATTCACGGTTAAAGTCGTTCAGCATTTGTGCAGCTTGGCTGATGTTTGGTGTTATTAGAACGATGTCATCAGCAAAGCGGAGGTGGTGTAGTTGCCGACCAGACCATCTATCTTCACTCCCATGCTTTCCCATTCCAGTCGTCGCATGATGTTCTCGAGGGTGGCACTGAAGAGTTTTGGTGAAATGGTATCACCCTGCCGAACCCCTCTCTTGATATGGATGATTACTTCTTTGTAGAATGGTGAGATCTTGGTAGTGAATCCGCAATAGAGCTCATGAAGGATCTTGATGTATTGAGTTTGTACGCCCTGATTGGCTATGGCTTCTGTGACCGCTTCCGTCTCAACAGAATCAAAGGCCTTCTTTAAATCAATGAACGTTAGACAGAGCGGCATCTTGAACTTACCTCTTAAAGCTTTTGTAATATGAGCACTACCAGATCTTCATGATTAATTAATTCAAAACTCTTGAGTCCCTACTGCACAATTTGGGCAAGATAGGTTTTCACATAGAGTTGAGAGATCCAGGTCAAAAGTCTACCTATGCAAATATTAATATAGACCTTTTATCATGACCATTTAGAACAAACATTACCAAAAGAAGAGAAATTAAAAAGGAAAGCAGGAGGAGTCTGCCACAATGTAGTGGGGAATGGTAATTTATAAGCTTTCTGTCCTATATACTAGAGAGAATATTTACCTGGTCATTTATTTCTCACTACAATCTAATGTCTTACAAAAATCATATGAACTTGTACCCATAACTTCTTCAAAATTCAACTTATTTCCTAGAAAACAAATGATGTGAATGTACCATGTCATCTCTGGTGATAGTAAGAAAACTTAGCTAATTCTATACTGTAATTTCCAGTCATTTTTGATGTTTCATTTTTGTCTAGATAGTGGAAAAGTGATTATTTCACACTTCTTATGAATAAAGATTGGAAGGGTTAGGAATATCTCAAATAATCCAAATTACTCTCTTGTCATTTGAATTGTGCAAATGGTTGAGACAGGATATGCCAATTCTTGTTCAATTTAGTATGAGGATGTGTAGAGTCATATTGCTCGAAGGGAAGTTATGAGATCATTCTAACTACTTCTGCCTCATGCCAGGTATACACCCAAACTGTGAAAGTCAAAGATTGGCTAATTGTTTCATCTCTTTTCAAAAAGTACAAACACTTAGCACTATCTTCATTTTATCACAATGGGGATAAAAAGCAACCCTCAAAGTTGCCAATGATGACTCTAACAGAATCTATTTAAAGGGCTTCATTTAGTGAGTTTGGAGATAAAAGATTGTGGTCTTTTGGAGTCACCTTTATTTTAGACCATTTATTGACATCAAAGTTATGACTCATAGTAATCTCTATGCTTTGAAAAGAAGTGGATACACATACCTCCCAAAATATAATACATTTTACCTTAGAGTGCCAGCAGGTATTTATACCCAGAAACTACTATGTTTCTCCACCTTTATAATTTATGAATGGAAACATACTATGATGGAGGAAGTTTCTTGAAGAAATACCCAGAAAAGGAGATTAGAGCCTTTTTCTCTAACCCCAATGTAAGCCCTACTGGATATATTAATATTCAATATTCAGACCTGATCTTGTTCCTCTGTCTTTCCTATTTCCAGCTATACTAACAAGGCCCAGTGGGAACTCTTCTTGATTGAGGCTGTCTCCAGAGTCCAAGAGGTAACTCCCTCCTTTCCTACAGATGAGACCTTAATTGTTCTTACTCTGTCTTTGACTTTGTCTCACATTAGTTCAGCTATAGACAATGGACTTCATCTCATATGCTAATTTGTACCAAGTAGTAAATGAGTAGAGGAAGATAGCATGGCCACTTATAAAGTTTGTGTGATGGGTATTTCATGGCTATCACAGCACAGAACAAAGCATTTGCAGTTTGTATCTACCTTTTGGGTACTAGCTCATAAATACCTAGAGAATAGAAATGCCTTGCTTTAGAGTTTACCTCCCTTGCATGCCTAATTTGTTCTAACAGCACAACTGGTGCTCAAACCATATTTGTTGATTAAGATGCCAAAAGATGCCTTTTAACACACCCAGAATAAGATCTAAATGAGGCTGGAAAGCTGAATCTTGATTTTACAAAGAAACATTTCTTCTGAAAATAAAGTGACAGGAATGGTGTACTATGTAGTTTTTCCTCGAGTCCTCATCAGATATCAAGATAAAATGAAGTTCCACACGCAGCCACACTTAGAACTAGATTTTATTTGTGATCTGTCTAGACTCATTGGAATTTTCATTGTTTTGTATATGCTTCAGAAGAGCAGTTATATGGCACATCCCACCAGATGCTGAATCTGTATTTGAATGATATGCTTAAAAGAAAATTTCAAAAATGTATCTAATTGAGGGGCTGGAGTGATAGCATAGCAGGTAGGGCATTTGCCTTGCACATGGTTTGATTCCCAGTATCCCATATTGTCTCCTGCGCACTGCCAGGAGTAATTCCTGAGTGCAAAGCCAGGAGTAATCCCTGAGCATGGCCAGATGTGACCCAAAAAGCAATATACATATATATATGTATATATATATTTGATATAAAGAGGAAATAGAAATATAGGGAAACAGATATAAAATATAGGGACATTATGGAAAATATAGGGAAAGAAAAAACTTTCCATGATTAAAAAAATAATAGTCATATTGAAATTCTCAACCTCTACCCTATGTTTCCTGCCTGAACAACTGAATGATATTAACTAACATATACAGATCCCTGTCCAGTTTCAGAAAATTCCAGTAACATTTGAAGTTCATTCTCATTTCACAAAGACTGAAAACTCCCCTACAGTTTCAACACTTACTGCCAGGGTTAATTTGAATTTCAGTTTCAGCCATTTTTGTATGCTTAGAGGAAAATGTTATATATTTGAAAATCAAGAAAAATAAATTGCAGGAGACTCACAGGTTGGGTTTTCACAGAAGTTTCCCTTTCTTGGAGTCACAAGCTCTTTTGGACCAGAGAGACAGCTGGTGGAACCTAGCTTTCAGCCTGCTTCAGCCTGACAATGTGCACTAGGCTATTTAGAATAGATCAAGAGAAGTACTAGCCTTTATGTGCCTGTCACTTCATATTTTTAGGAAAACTGGAAAGGGCCAGTGTGGTTCAGTGGTTGAATATTAAATCTTGTATGTGTGAGGCCCAGCCCTGCCAGGAAGGAAGGAAGGAAGGAAGGAAGGAAGGAAGGAAGGAAGGAAGGAAGGAAGGAAGGAAGGGAGGAAGGAAGGGAGGGAGGGAGGGAGGGAGGGAGGGAGGGAGGGAGGGAGGGAGGGAGGGGGAAGGAAAGAAAGAAGGGAGGAAGGGAGGGAGGGAGGGAGGGAAGGAGGAAGAAAGATTGGTTTAACATTAGATCTTAGTTCAACTGTTTTCCCAGATGCTTGATTTTGATGTAGCTACTCCAAAGATTTACTTTCAGGAAAAATAGGCAATCATTTATTATACACACACTATAGGGTATTGTTAAATTGAATAGAAAATGCAAGTGCAAGGACTTTATAAATACCATGGTAAAATAATCTCATACTTTTCACCATCACTAAGCTCCAATTGGTGGTTGGTTCCACTTCTGCCATATAACTTGCCTTAAAACAGAGATAATTAATTTTTAATGGTATTGATCTCATTTCTTTCAAGAGTATCTGAAGACTGCAACTCTTGTACATAATAGTGAATTTCTAAACCTTGTTGGTAAGAGAGGAGATATAGCTTGAAATGAGTTTACACAGAGCAGTAGTTTAGTGAGAACAATAGGCTTTAATGAAGAAAAATAGATGAGCAGTTTTTAAGGAAAGTGGAGGTATTTCTTTAGAAATTGAAGAAGAATTTTAAAGTTATGCTGACATCATACTCACCAGGGGACCTGTATTTAAGAGTACCATGACTGAGGGGGGCTACTCAGCTTGTCCCCAGACCTGATTTGGAACCTTTCCAACTCCAGGCAATTGTCTTTTCCTAGAAACATCAAGTCATTTACAGAGATGATATTTAGATGACATTTTATCTTTTCTCTCTGGTCTAGTAATTGTCCTGTCTGTCCTGTCTGTCCTCCGTTGTTCATTGATTTGCTCGAGCAAGCCCAGTAACATCTCCATTGTGAGACTTATTGTTACTGTGTTTGGCACATGGAATATGTCACAGGTAGCTTGCCAGGCTATGCCAAATGTCAACAATCTCTTCCTCAAAGTACTTGATATCTTTTAGAACAGATCCATTCATTCATTAAGAATTTAGGATCTGTTGATCACAGTAGGGGTTATGTTCTAAGGTAACACAGTTGTGAGGAAGCTAGTAAGAGTCCCTGGCTCACATGTTTACCTTCCTAGGACCACAGCCACTCCACGCAGCCTAATCTTTATTTTTTTCCCCATTTATTTTTTTAGTTAAATCACAGTGATATACACATTTACAAAGTTGTTCATGATTAGGTTTAAGTCATATAATGTTCCAACATCCGTCCTTTCACCAGTGTACTTTTCCCACCACCAATGTTCCCCCACCACCTGCCATGCACTTTTCTACTCTCTCTCTCTCTCTCTCTCATCCTCCCTCTCTCTCTTTTCTTTTCTTTCTCCATATCAATCTTTCTTTCTTTCTCTGTTTCTCTCATTTTGGACCTTTTGGTTTGCTATACAGATAATGAAATGTTATCAGGTATATCCCTTTACCTGTGCCCTTCAACCCCCACACTCTTGTAGCAAGCTTCCAACCATTGACCTGTACTCCTGTCCCCTGTTTACCCTAGACTTGGACATATATAGATAGATAGATAGATAGATAGATAGATAGATAGATAGATCTTACAAATGAATGTACTCATTCAACCATTCTATACCTGTCCCTCTGCTTCTGACTCATTTCAATCAACATGATTCTCTCCATGCCAATCCATTTATAAGCAAATTTCATGACTTCATTCTTCCTAACATCTGCATAGTCTTCCATCGTGTAGATGCACCATAGTTTCTTTATCCAGTCATCTGTTCTTGGGCACTCAGGCTTTTTCCAGATACTGGCTATTTTGAGCAATGCTGCACTGAATGTAGAAGTCCGGATGACATTTTGACTTTGTGGTTTTGGGTGACTGACGTATATTTCCAGAAATGATATTGTTGGGTCAAATGTGAGCTCAGTTTCTAGTTTTCTGAGAAATGTCCATTGTTTTCTAAAAAGGCTGGGCAAGTCAACATTCCCACCAACAATAAAGGAGAGTCCCTTTCTCCCAGCATCCAGACGAGCCCTGGTTGCTCTTGTTCTTTTGGATGTATGCCAGTCTTTGTGGTTTAAGATGATATCTAATTGTTGTTTTGATTTGTACCTCCCTGATTATTAGTGATGTAGAGCATTTTTTCATGTGCCTTTTATGAATTCTAATCTTTAGAAGAGAAAACTACGCTAAAATGTGTGTGCTACCATTTGAAAAAGCCCCAGATTCTGAGCATTGGTACAATCTCAGTTCTGTGTCTTTTACTAATTTACCATGTGATGTGTTGCATCATGCATTTCCTAATCTGTGAAATGATAGATCAAATTGGGTTCCCTGTAAACACTGAATTCTAAAATTAGACAATTCCTTAATGTTAGGAAAATTTGTGTCCTGGTGTCTGAATGTGTCCAAGCAAAATGATAATATTTGTCCTTCTAGCTCCACTAGCTATTCTGAAGTGGGTTGCAGAGAACATGTGAATGAGAATGAGATTTAATAATATAGGGGGTCACTGTTTGATTTGGTCATTAACATAAGTACAAGGAGGGTTCCTCTGCCATTTCTATTTGGGATCTCAAGCTATATACTTATGTCGCTTCAAGCATGGTGATGCCTGCCCCTGTACTGATGACTGACACAACCTGTGATTATTACAAACTCTTACTTCTAGACAGCCTCCCTCATTCAAGCACTTGGCGCACAAAACAGATATAGTAATACAGTTGAGATAAGACTTGATTATTACCTAATGAGAAAACAAGCTCCTGTCACCATTTGGTGTGTGTTCCTTGGAAGCTCAGCTCAAACTAGTTTTTTCTCCTTTCTGAAGAATGATTGAGTCTTTTCTCTTTCTTTCACTGCTGTATAGAGTTTGCTTTTGGAAGCAGACCTAGAATTTTTTGCATTTCTCCCAAGCTTGAGAGTCTAGAGGTATAGGATCTCTCCAGGTCATTAAGTATTATCAGCAGCATCCAGGCCCCCTTCTTATATAAATCCGTTGAGAATTGTAAAACAGAATCTCCCTGAAGGTATCAGGGATGATCATTTTGTCCATGATTCTGTCTCAAACTCAAGTTTGCCCGGCCTCGGAGCAGAGAATGGGCAATGCTGCTGATTAACGATAAGCTCGGTGCATTTGCATGTCCCTCTGCCAGTTGCTTGGCTACAAAGATGGCATGAGGGGAATGCTTTGCATTTGGGGTAACACCATAACAACTGGACTGAAAAGTATATTATGACTAAGAATGAGGACATTGTGCTATCATTTGTACAGGGGTTTGCTTTGGAAACTCCCTGTTCGGCAAAAGAAAATGTTATGACTACTGGTTTTGTGGTTTATCTGAGCATCTGCAACAGATTAAAGCCCCCAAGCATTTATTGAGCACCTCCTCTCCTTCCCCTCCCTCCACTTCCCCCTCCCCCCCATAATCATCACTAAAATGAAAAAATATCTCA